GAAAGGGTAAATGCTGCTGTGGTTGAAGAGTCTCAGGAAAACTAAAGATGGCTGGCAATTTGGGGGCTGCGCTGGCTAAGAGATGTTGTGCCCCCCGAGAAATAAATGTTTCCCAACTTCGAAGAGTTCAAAGTAGTCTGTTGTTGGAGGGTTATGTAAATAAGAAGAAATGTGTGTTCACAATCGACACAGGAGCTACGTCCTCAATAGTACGGGCAGGATTCATAATGGGTTTCAAAGTAAATAAAGAACAGAATGGATTAGTCATCCGAACAGCTACGGGAGATAGGGCGGTGGTTCATGGGGAAGTCGACATGGAGCTGCAGATTGGCCGCTTATGTTTTAAACATCAGGTTATCGTAGCTGACATTACAGATGACTTCATTTTAGGATTAGACGTTATGGAAAAATATGGATTTGTGCTTGACGTTGGAGAACGAGTTCTCAGGATTGGAAATGAAGAAATTATTCTTTCAACGACAGATGAAAAATTCCATAATATTAGACTACTAACTTCGAGGACCATAAAAATTCCTGCAAGAACAGAGAAAGTAATTGAGGCAGTCCTGGAGGAAAATTCTGTGGGATACCGCTTTGGCCTCGTTGAGAAGGATGACTCAATTAAAATGACAGACAATGTGATCCTGGCAAGGACTTTAACACAGACTACAGATAAGATACCGATTAGAATGGTTAACCTAAATTCACACTCAGTGACGTTCAAAGAAGGCGAAGCAGTTGGCACCTACGAACCAGTCACATGGATTGCGAGATGTGAAGAACAAATCATTGGAGCTTCGTCAACAGATATGGACCAAGAAGTTGTAAGAATGTTAAATGCCCAGTTAGAACATTTAACTCCAGATGAACATAGAGAAGCTTTAAAATTTTTGAAGAAGGAAAGTACAGTATTTGCAAAGGACACAGAAGCTCTTACAAAGACCAACATAGTGCAACATCGGATAAATACTGGTGAATCAGCTCCTATTCGTCAACCACCTAGGAGGCTCCCATTAGCAAAACAAGAAGAGGCTTCTGCAATGGTACAGAAGATGCTTAAAGACGGAGTTATTGAGGAATCAACCAGTCCTTGGTCGTCTCCAGTAGTTTTGGTTGCTAAGAAAGATGGAACTTTAAGATTCTGTGTCGACTACAGGAAGCTGAATGACGTCACTAGAAAAGACAGCTATCCGTTACCCCGAATTGATGACACACTAAGTACGCTGGCAGGTTCACAGTGGTTTTCCACTCTAGATCTTCGAAGTGGATATTGGCAAGTGGGCCTTCATCCAGATGACAAAGACAAGACAGCCTTTTCGACAGGAAGTGGCCTTTATCAATTCACTGTGATGCCTTTCGGCCTGTGCAATGCACCAGCAACTTTTGAAAGACTGATGGAACTGGTACTACGAGGACTAACTTGGAAGACATGTCTAGTTTATCTTGATGATGTGATGGTTATGGGACGGGATTTTAAGGAACATTTGAAGAACCTTCAAGAAGTGTTTGGAAGAATTAAAAATGCACACCTGAAATTGAATCCCAAAAAGTGCCTAATGTTCCAGAAAGAGGTAAAATTCCTAGGACATGTCGTGTCTTCGGAGGGGATAAGAACAGACCCAGACAAGATTTCCTCAGTACGAGATTGGCCGAGGCCTGCAAATGTTCACGAAGTACGAAGCTTCCTTGGCCTATGCACTTACTACAGACGATTTGTGGAACGATTTGCCGATATTGCGAAGCCACTACACCGGCTTACAGAAGAGAAGGTTCAGTACCAATGGACACAAGAGTGTGAAACATCGTTCAGAACACTAAAATCAGCACTGTGTTCGAGTCCGGTTCTATCATACCCAGAACGAAAAGGTCTGTACGTATTAGACACGGATGCCAGTAATTCTGGACTTGGATGTGTTCTTTCCCAAATTCAAAATGGACAGGAAAAAGTAATTGAGTACTTCAGCAAGACGTTGTCGAAGCCAGAACGTAACTATTGTGTGACACGGAAGGAACTATTGGCCATTGTCAAGTCCATAGACCATTTTCACAAGTACCTATATGGACAACACTTTAAGGTTCGGACCGACCATGCTGCATTAAAGTGGTTATTGCAATTGAAGACTCCGGAAGGCCAACTAGCTCGCTGGATAGAAAAACTGCAGCAGTGCGATTTTAAAATCGAACATCGTCCTGGAAAATCCCATAAAAATGCAGACGCTCTCTCCAGAAGACCCTGTCGGGAAGACTGCAAGCACTGCCACCGGGTAGAAAAACAACAAGGGATAATAATTGTGAACACCGTTAAAATTGATGTTCCTGACGACTGGACAAGAGAGACATTAAGAGAAGAGCAGTTAAAAGATCAAGAAACTGGTCCTATTCTGGAATGGAAAGAAAGAGGAGCCCGACCAGGCTGGAAGGACTGAAGGCTTTGTGGGCACAATGGGATTCCCTTAGAGTAGAGGATGGACTGTTGAAAATAGCTTGGGAAAGTCCAGACGGGAAGGAAATTACTTTGAGATTGGTAATTCCCAGGTGTCGCATACCAAAAGTACTCCAGGAAGTGCATAATGGAACATCTGGCGGACATTTTGGCATCAACAAAACTCTCACTAAAGTACGCGAACGATTCTACTGGGTGAACAGCCGCCAAGATGTGGAAGCTTGGTGCCGCAAATGTGAAGTTTGTGCGGCAAGTAAGGGGCCACGGACAAGAAGTAAGGGCCAAATGAAACAATATAACGTAGGGGCTCCTTTTGAGCGAATTGCGATCGACGTAGCTGGTCCATTCCCCGTGACAGATGATGGGAACAAATACATCTTAGTTGCCATGGATTATTTCAGTAAGTGGCCTGAAGCTTATGCCATACCCAACCAAGAAGCAGCCACTGTCACTCAAGCTCTGGTAGATAATCTAGTATGTCGATTTGGCGTGCCCCTAGAATTGCATTCGGATCAAGGAAGAAACTTTGAATCAGGGGTGTTTCAGAAGATGTGTCGCCTACTGGGAATTCATAAGACAAGAACAACAGCCCTACATCCACAATCAGACGGAATGGTGGAGAGATATAATAAAACCATGGAGGAGCACCTATCCAAAGTGGTTGAGAAACATCAGAGAGATTGGGACCGTCACTTACCTCTTTTCCTTATGGCATACAGGGCCTCCATTCATGAAACAACAAAACAGACACCGGCTCGCGTGATGTTTGGACGTGAGATTAGACTGCCATGTGACTTGATGTTTGGCACACCGGATGAGGAGCGACTTTCCGTAAATGACTACGCCGATGAAGTTGGTGAACGGCTAAGGAACATTCATGAGCTGGTACGAGACCGAATTGCCATAGCAAGTGATCGCATGAAGGCTCGTTATGATCTTAAGGCGAATTCAGGAGGGTTCCAGGCTGGAGATTTGGTTTGGCTATATAACCCACAACGAAAGAAAGGCAGGTCCCCGAAGCTTCACCCGCCCTGGGAAGGACCTTACACTGTGGTCACCAGACTAAACGACGTTGTATATAGAATTCAGCAAAGTCCAAAATCCAAGATGAAGGTGGTGCACATAGAGAGACTAGCCAAATATGCAGGGAATAATGAATTGCCTGATCGGGACGTTCAGGCTTAAGGAGGGGGCAGTGTTACGCCACTGGACTATGCAGACTGGTTAGACTAGGCTGGAATTGTACACGAACGGCCGGGAATATTCTGGAGTGCTCTAGACCGGGAGAATGGATGTATAAATAAGACGCACGGTGGGCCGAGATCTTAGTCTGAAGTCGAACGTGAACGAGTAAGGAAGAAATACGAAAGAGACTTATAAGTGTTCAGTTGTGATTATAATTAGGAAAGCGATTAATCTATTGTTGTTAATTGTAATTAGTAAATAAAGTAGTGATTAAGTGTTACCTGGACTTTCAATCAACGAATCTACTAGTATAGGTGTTTGTGTGGATAGCAAACACGTAACAGTATTTTAATATTGCAATACAGGATAGGTATGTAATAATGGAACTTAATTACATTCCTCTACAAAAATAATTCAACAATATTTTCAAGTATTGTTTTGTGGAGCAATTTAAAATATTGTGGAATTATTTTTGTAGAAGTATGTCCATTATTGTATACCTATCCTATATTGCAAAATTAAAATACAAATAACTCCAAAACGATGGCTCGTTTTTATGCAGTTTCTAACACTGGTGTCATTTCTCATTTTGAATGTTAAAAAAATGAGAAAAAAATTAAAACGAAAATTCATCCTGACTCCCCCTGTAACTACCGCAATAGATCATGATATTTAGATAAAAATTTGAGAAAATATGCAACGTTATGAAATTAATAAATGGTCCAAATTTAATTTTTACAACTTAAGCCGTTTTGAATTTATTGGCAAATAACGATGTTGTACTTACTCCTTTTAAGGGATTGTAGCTCCTTTATGAACTGATTAAAGGCGAATGTTTTTTTTAAAATGTTTTCTTCTTAAGGAAACATTTGCCTTAAATCAGGTTATAAGGGAGCTACAGTCTCTTAAAAGGGGCATATTTATCAATTAATTAACTACATGGAATTTTTCACAAATTACCGAAAAATGTCTAGTACCCTGGAACGTAGCCATGTTCTTGATTAAGTTGTAGTTTCTTGCAGATTCAATCTATATACTAAGAGAGACGTCTTAAAAATCCATTATAACTTATTAATTATATAAAACTTATTACACCTTAAAACTGTATAAAATACATGTTTAAAAGTACCATGTATTTATTGATAAGAAATAATTTTATTATCTTAACGTAATAAAAACAGCTGATATCGATAAACCTTCTCTCCTATTAATTTTTTTGTTTTTAAATAAACACCACAGGTAATACCACCCTCCGTATCCCTGAAGATACCTCAAGGTGCCTTGAGTGGGAGAGGGCTACACGTTTAGAGACAATGGACACACACCCAATGTCCGAGTATGCTAGGGTTAATTTCTGGTTTAGAAAAAATCCTAGCTCCTCGACCGGGAATCGAACCCAGGACTCCTGGATGAGAAGCAAATATTCTTACCACTTGACCATGAAGCCACATAACTGTATTTTTCAATTCTTCATCAAGTTTATTTGTAGATACTGCATGATTAAATTTTTATTCCCATTAGAACATCCTATATTAATATTAGGATGTTTGTCCGTTTCAATCACTCGAGTTAGATTTTTCATCACCGTTTATATCGTTTTCGCTTCTTCATCTCCAGGTAGTACAGTAAATCCGGCATGAGACCGTGCACTTTGGATAGGTAGCGATTTTTCTTTTGGGTTCCGTAGGGACGTCGGTCGTGAGCGTAAAACTGAGTGTTAGTGCCTGGGGGTGTTTTCATTTAGCCGCCATCTTCAAAATAAGGGTGCAATTTTTTTCATATATCCCCGTATCTCCATAAGTCTGAAAACATATTTTTCGAGCATTTTTTGTAGATAATGCAATTGTCTACATCTTTTATTAGTAACTTTTTGGCATAACAAATAATAAAAAATGCACTGGAGATAAAAACATTTTGGTGGCAATGTCCTTTGGAATGTGTCCCCATCAGTGATGTAAAATGGTAATTAATTTGGTGAATTACTGTTTTTCTTACCGTGATTACTGGTTAATATCCATTTTTTTACCGTAAATTACATGATAAATGTCCGCAAATATTTAGTAATCGATTATCGATTGTCAAATTTCATAATCGTGCAGCCCTAGCAATATAATATTACTATTTTCTGTGTTGGTTTTTAGTTGGTAGTGTTGTAATTAGAATATGTCAGGTTTGTAGCTAATATCTGGTGAAAGCAAAGTATCGTCAAAAGTTTTACATTGTCCACCAATTACTGTCATAATCGAATGATCATTTTCATGTCCATAATATAAAAATAAATAGACTGACAACTAAAAGGGCACAAAACTGGTTTTTGTACATAATAAAAATTTAATTGAACAGGATTACTCAGCTTTTGAATCTGTTTCAATGGATAATAATTTGACTTCTTCTGATGAATCAGAATATTTAGATTCTGATGAGCTGTCACTAATGTAATATTGATTTAACAATCTCAGATTAGGCAAATATAGATCTTTACAATTGATGAAAAAACTAAGAAGAATATTTATAAAATAGTTAGTTCACTCGAATTTTCCACCCCATAATTTTTAAATTTCTCTGCTAATAACTTTTTTATTATGTATGTATGTTACCCTGAAAAGTTGCTAATAAAAGTAGTAGAGAATTGCATTATTTATAAAAATGCTCCTTAAAAATATTTTGTCAGACTCATGGTTACGGAGATAAATCAAAAACTAATTGCACCCTTATTTTGATTATGGTGACCGAATGATAACCCGCGGAAACTCAGTATTACACTAATGACCGATCCCTCTACGAAATACAAAAATTATATCGCTGCCTATTTAAAATACGCGTTCTCATGCCAGATTGACTGCACATTCTAGAAGTTTTACGCGTTTCCTTCCTCATTTACGTTCAATGAAAGGGCATCTCGTCTTTGCCTAAACCACTTTGTAATATATAAGTATATTACACAGATTTAACAAGATTTAACTCTTGCACGATACAGCGCTATTTTCAGAGAAATAGTAAGAGTTTTCATATCCATTATTTTACATAGACTATTGAAAAAAATGCGATTTGTCAGAAAAAAACCGTATCTCAAAATTATTGAATCTGCATATTAACAAATAATATTGCTATGAACCCAAAGTGGTAGACGTTTTCGGTAATTTCTGAACATTTCCATATAACCAATTAAAAATTGCCAACGACCCATGTCTAGATACGTAATATCCTGTAAAAAATAAACACTACAATTTTTTTAAATAAAAATTAATCGCTGGAAAGTGGGGAAAAAGACGAAACAAAATTCTGAATTTTGATTTTCGCCTTTTTAGTATTTGTTTCTCTCAAAATTTTATTTGATATTTTGTCAATATTTGGATAAATAGAGTTGTTTTAAGGAAACAACATCAATCTCAGAAATCCACAAGACACATTCCCGATGATATAACTATTATTAAAGATATCATAAGTTTTCTTTTCACTCATTGATATGAAATATTTTCAAAGATGTCACGTAAAAATTGAAAAAAAAAATATGTTAGTATTAATTTTCTCTCAAATTTCCGAGTACGAAAATTCCACATATGTATCTAAATAGCATCCAACACTTTGCTTTTAACCATTTTACAAATTCTGGAAAACCTCTTTCATTCTAAAGGGTTATAAATTACTTTAGGAACTATTTCCGAATACGCATTGTGATCTTTTTTATATTTTGAATGATGAAATTTGTTTTTGACATCCTGTATAACAATTAAACTAGTATTTATGAATTTAATCATAACAACATAAATGCTTAGTTGTAGGAGCGGCCACACTGAAACTTTATATCATTCACAGTGAAAATACAACGTTAGTTTAGTGAATGAAATAAAGTAAACTTTAATGGAATTGTAAAAACAATTTTGAAATCGATACTTATGCTCTACAAGACTCAACAAACGCATTAATTATAATACTATTATTTTAAATTGGTCGAGTCATATAAACTTATACTTTGTAATAAATCAGGTAAAAGTTAACATGCTCCTTCAAACCACTGCACCATCTGCATCTTTCCGCTCACAAATCAAATGTAAAATCATAAATTGGGTCACTATTAGTCATATTCAAGTATTTTTTTTTATTCGCAAATGTTTACAGTCTGCCTCTGCAGTTTGGATGAATGTTTTTAATAAAGATCTATTGGCAGAGGCGACGGCCTCCTAGCCTCGTATCGCTTTTGATATGAACTACTTTATTGGAGGAGTTAATAATTTAGACCTTAAACCCGGCATTAGACAGGTGGGGTGTGACAAACTCACAGTGATTTTAAAAATGACGCCAAACTTCATACAACGCATTCTGGCACCTGTCGTTTTAAGTATCTCTCGAAAAAACAATATACTGAAAGCACGTGAGACTCGTAAGAGCGCTTAGTATTACCTCAACACTAGAAGGAGGCATATTGATAGAAAGTACATTGGGGTGTATTAAGCCCTAGCTGTTTAAAGAAATGATAGTTTTACGGATTGTTATGAAATTGTCTCAAGAGGTCTTCAAGTGGGTTACTATATTTATTAAGAATTTTTCCAATTATTATTATTGCAGCCTATCTATTTACAGTATATTTCATTTATGAAAAGAAACAAGATCGATTATTGGCGTTGTGGCAAGAAATAGAAAACGAGGATTATCTTGAAAATAGTGATAACGATTTTGAAATAGATCGAGAAGAATTACAGAATGAAGACAATAGTGTAATACTCAAGAGGAGGAGGACGTAGCATAAGAATTAGACGAATACGTACCTGATGATTGCGCTGAAAACAAAAAGTATTATATTTCTAAGGACAATACTAGATGGTTAAAAGAACTTCCTCCTCAAAATGGGAAAACTCGAGCAAAAATAAAAAAAAAGCATTTCCCAGGTGTTAGAGCCTATGACAAATAGAAAGACACCATTGAAATGCTGGAGTTTATTTTTTAACCAACAAATGATTTTGGATATGACACATAATGTAAAAATTAAAGAAAAGGCAGCCAAATATGAAGAGAATAATTATCACGTAGGAAAAACCACAGAGTGTGAGGTATTGGCACTTTTTGGTCTATTGTATTTATCTGAAGTTTTCTGAAATAACCACAGGAATATTGAAGAATTCTATAAAACTGATGGCACTGGAATAGAGACTTTCCCAGCTATAATGAGTATGAAACGATTTTTGTTTCTTTTGACCTGCCTTTGATTCGACAATACAAATAATAGAGCTGAAAGGAAAAAATCAAATTGGCACCAATCAGAGCGATATTTGAAACGTTTGTCGAAAACTACCAAGCTTCTTATTCCCCAAGTGAATACCTGACGTTAGATGAAAAACTAGAAGCAATCAGAGGAAGGTGTTCCTTCCGTCAGTACATACCAAATAAACCATCTAAGTACGGCACAAAAGTTCAAGTGTTGGTAGATGCTAAAAGTTTCTATGTTTTGGATATGGAGGCTTATGTTGGTCACCAGCCAAATGGGCCATACAAATGCAGTAACAAACCATATTACATCGTTACTTGTCTAGTAAAACCTATTGCGGGAACAAATAGAAATGTGACTCTCATCAATTGATATACAAGTTATGAAATAATAAAAGAACTCCTTAGCCAGCATAAGCCAACAGCTGTTGAAAGTATGAGAAAAAACAAAAGACATATACCTCCTCAGATGTTGTCTGTAAAAAAATAGAAAACCTTGTTCCAGTTTATTTGTCTTTCAGTAAGATATGACAATAATCTCAAATATACTGGTAAAAGGCAAAAATGTATTGTCAACTCTACATGATGACAACATGATTGAGCCTGGAGAGAAGAATCTTCCCGAAATAATTCAATTCTATAACGAAACCAAGGGAGGTGTCGATGTAATAGATGAACTTTCATCTACATACAACGTGTTTGTAATAGTCGTCGTTGGTCACTTACTGTATTCTTTTCTCTTATGAATACGGCTGGAATAAATTCCCAGATTATTTATTGTTTTAACAATAACTAGTTCATGAGAAGAAGAGAATATTTGAAAGCTTTAGGTTTATCATTGGTAAAGAAACGTGTTGAGAGTCGTAAAAATAATCTAAGAATGATTAAGATATTGAGAAACTCCATAAACAAAATTTTGGATAATAGTGAAGAGTCGGAGCTAAAGATGTATCTCAAAAACAAAGCCTTAACACACCTATGTTTATAAGAAATTTCCCTATATACATATACAGTGTGTGCGGTTTAAGACCGCAACACCTTATTTTTGAACGTGTTGATCGTTTTATTATTGTTTTTTCTTTTTAATTTGGGGCATATTATATTATTAGCTCAACTTTTCAAAGGCATGATTTTCTAAAAAATATAAATTTAGCTCAGAACTGAGCGTTCTTGGAACTTTCATTGATCAGTCCTACTTTGAAACTCCATAGCTATGGAGCTATGTTTCAGACAAAACTTCCGTGT